TTTAATCGTACAATTACTTCATATATGATACATACTTCCTTCAAGTTTTTAGAGTATCTTTTTGAATATTGCAATTATTTTTAATTGCTGCACCCTGAAGATGTATTGCAAATAAAGTGTTAGAATTAATATGTTTGTTTTTTAGTAAAGGATCTTAACTTTGATATTCTTATTTTCTTTTCCCAGAAATGTCTTTACATAAATTAAAGTTGAAAACTTCTAAACATTTCAGGACTATCCTCCTATTTCTGTAGAAGAAAAGCTATTTTCAGGCATTTAAAGATTGTGGAAATGCTCTAAAATGAAGAAGTGCTATCCTTTTTATTTTCTCCCAAGTTGGGGGAAAGTCTTACTTCTTGCCATTTTACATTGAACTGTTCTTGTGTTTTGAATCAATAATTTCAGTTGAACAATAAAAAAAATCCTTCACAACATATTTTCAGTAAACTACTGCATTCAAATTTTCACTATAATTTGTTGGTTATAGAATCATAGAATCACAGAGATGTTCAGCATGGAAACAGACCCTTCAGTCCCACTTGCCTGTGCTGACCAGATATCCTAAATTAATCTAGTCCCATTTGCTAGTAATTGGCAGCTCTCCCTCTAAACCCCTCCTATTCATATACCCAACCATATGCCTTTTCAATGTTTTAAATAAGGTACCAGCATCCACGACTTCCTCTGGCAGCTCATTCCACACGTGCAATTCCCTCTGCATGAAAAAATTGCCCCTTAGGTCCTTTTTCAATCTTTTTCCTCTCACCTTAAACTAATGCCCTCTAGTTTTGGACTCCCACTCCCCTACCCTCAGGTAAAGGCCTTGGCCATTTCCCCTATCCATGCCGTTCTTGTTTTATAAACTTTTATAAGGTCACCTCTCAGCTTCCAACGCTCCAGGGAAAATAGCCCCAGCCTATTCAGCCTCTCCCTACAACTCAAACCCTCCAACCCTGGCAATATCCTTGTTAATCTTTTTTGAACCCGTTCAAATTTAACAATGTCTTTTCTATAGCAGGGAGACCAGAACCGAACGCAATGTTCTAAAAGTGTCCTAACCAATGTCCTGTACAGCCACAACAGGAACTCTCAACACCTATGCTCAATGCACTGACCAATAAAGACAAGCATACCAAATGCCTTCTTCACCATCCTGTCTACTTGTGACTCTGCTTTCAAGGAACTATAAACCTACACCCTAAGGTCTCTTCGATCAGCAACACTCCCCAGGACCTTACCATTAAGTGTATAAGTTCTGCCTTGATTTTCCTTACCAAAATGTAGCATCTGACATTTACCTCTATCTAGTTATACTGCTATTTTAATGATTTTCTTAATAAGTGCCTTTCTTTGCTAATTTTAACTATCTTAATAATGCTCATTTGATTTAGATAGCGACTTAAGCCTGCTGCCAGCTTCTCAGTTTAGAATTTTTTTTTAAATCTAAAAATGCTCACCATTTCTCTCAGGAACTGAACTTACTTTGGGGGTCCAATATCTACTACTGTACCCAGGGTTTATGATTTGCATTTTTCCTGTCGCAGTTCTGGTAAGACTTTTCATGGCCTCCATAAGCTTTTTCAGTAGTTTTCACTATGTCTCACTGTTGCAATCTTCAACGAGCAGGCTTCATACCTGTCTTTTTCTTCTACTCAAATGGCTGTGGCATTTGTAAAACTTAATATTTTTCAGGTTAGCACTATCTGACCAAAATCCCCATTGCTGTTCACCATATTTTAAAAGTATAGTTGAGTGAAGTCTTCAGATTCCACTACTGCTGCCATTTGATAGATTCATTGCCACCAATCCTTGTTAATATCAGTCTAAGCTACTGATAGCAAATGAGAAGGATGCCACCATGAATTCTTCAGTAAAGACTGGGTTCAATATCAATGAATAATAACAATATTTATTACATATTACTTAATAGCTAGAAATATTACAGCTGAAATACAAGACTGTCTCCTGGCTCAACTTAAAACCTAGTAACGTCAAGTTGCCATAGTCCCAGAGGACCATAAGGCTGCTCTCTCAGTAGAGAGAGATGATTGATGGTGATTTTAAGCTGAGGGTCACCATGCCTCAAGCAAAGGGTGAGGTTGAGAAAGTAGGATCTTCATGGTGATCTCGGCTGGTATGGGAATTGAACCCATGCTGTTGGCATCATTCTGCATCATAAACCAGCCATCCAGCCAACTAATAAGACCCACTACATATTATTAATCTAACTCTATGTTGGAAACACCAAGAACAAGCAATAAAGCATGATATACTTAAGTTGAACACAACCAGAACTTGCTAGAGGCAACCTCTGGTTATCTCCTCCGAGGAAGAACCCATTATCTCCTGATGGACAAAGCTTATCAAGTGATATCAATTAACCCCTTCAGATACAAGCTACGTCATTTTACAACAGTTGGGACTGTATCTCACTCTCAGGAAGAAGCAGTCACAGACATTGAATTTGATGGGTGTGAACTGTTAGTTGGCTGGAAGCCAGAGACAGTGAGCTGATGAAGCGGTAAGAATTGGATTCTCTATTGTAAAAAAATTCAATGATCTTGTTTGCTTGGGCAAAGCACAAAGCCAAATCCACAGCCTGAAGGCTGGCCTTGGAGTATTTAACCAGACATACATGGATGCTGAAGGAGCATGCTGGTACTGAACATGGGAAGAATGTTTGCTCAGGCCATTTACTGATGCCTCAGTCAGGTTCAGAGCCAAGGTGCTGTTAACGGACTACCAACACTGATACATGAAGTTTCTTATATCAATGAGCACGTAACATTGGACAGAGACCAGGAATGCCTTGACTATTCTTATCCTATTCTTGGCTAGCCATGGTCAGTTTATCCTCTTCCTTCTTCCTCATTACGATATATCTTTACAGTGAGTTATAACTTCTCAAACTTTTGCCATTGTTGGTCAAGTATCCTTTCTGCCAAACCCCTTTGCCAACCCACTGCAGCCACCCCAACTGTACATCAATGATGTCATCGATGCTGCTTCCTGCTCTCATCCACAATTGGAAAAATTAATCTGCGCTCACCTTCACCTGGTCCATTTCTGTCTCTTTCTTTCTCTTCCTTAATTCTCTGTTTCCATTTCTGGGGACAGGCTGTCCACCAATATCCAAGTTACCTTGACTACACAGCTTCACAACCTGCTTTCTGCAAGGATTCCATTTTCCCAGTTTCTCGCTCTCTGTCACAACTGTTCTGATGATGACATCCTCCATAGTGCTGCCTCTGTCATGATCTCCTTTCTCTTCAATCAACACATATCCCCCACAGAGCCCTTGACCCTTCAAAACCCATCAAGTAAAAGGATGGCGTTCCCCTTGTCTTACTTTTCTATCCACCAGCCTCTGCATTCAAAGGATCATCCACTGCCATTCTGTGACCTCAAGCAAGATCCTAAAGCCAAACAAATCTTCCCCTTTCCACCCTCAGGTGTCAGCATTCCACAGGATCTGTACCATCCGTGACACCCTGTTCCACAACTCTCTCATGGCACCTTCCCATGCAAATGAAGTAACACTTTCCCTTTTATCTCTACCTTCTTAATGTCCAAGACCTCAAAGACACCCTCCAGGTGAATCAATAGTTTACTTGTTTACTTCTTTCAATTTAGTCTGCTGCATTCACTGCTACAATGTAGTCACTTTTACATTGGTGGGACCAAAAACAAACTAGGTGACCACTTTGCGGAACACCTCAGCTCCATTCATAAGTATGACCCTGACATTCAAGTTACTTGCAATTTCAATACACCATCTTGCTCTCATGCTAACACTTCAATGTTAGGCCTGTTACAGTGTTCCAGTAAAACCCAATGTAATCTGGAAGAAGATCATCTTATTTGCACTTTACATCCTTTGTGACTCAACATTAAGTTCAACAAATTCAGACCATGAACACTGTCCTCCATTTTTATTATACCTCTTCCCCCTTCAAGGTCTTGTCTGCACGGCTTCGCTCTCAGCAAATGGTAAAACCTACCATTAACACCATTTCCATCATTTCTCTACTACCATTACCACTCTCTTTGTCTTTTGCTCTAGGCACCCTGACCATCTCTTCCCTATATGCCTCCTCCCTGATTTTTGTATTACATAAAGCCCAGTTTTCCAGCCCTCTTCAGTTCCAAGGAAGAGTTATCTGGAATTGAAACGTTAATTCTGTTTATCTCTCCACAGATGCTGCCAGACCTGCTGAGTTTCTATTGCTGTCAGAACCATTGGAAGTCTCTGATTCTAACTTAGATCTGGGGCCTTTTTTGAAGGGTTCTAAATCCCAGGTAATTTCAGCTGTTTCAATTTCCCAGGCTATTCCCATGGAATCAACTGCGTCAGGCCTTCCATGTGCTCCCATCATGCAACTCCAGTGTACACTTCCTCTTGCAAGATCTGGGTAATCATCCACACTTTTAGTAGACCAGTTTTAAAAAAGCAAAAGGCAGAGAAGGTCTTATTTATCCAACTTCAAAAGCAGGAGACAGCCACAATCTTTTGGGAAACATATTGTTTAATTCAGATGAAGAATTGGAAGTACAAAATTCTGGGGTAAGGTTTGGAAAAGCATGCAATAAATGCGAAATGGTGACATTGTGATAATGTGACTGGATTGATAACACAGAGCCCCGGGACAATGCCTTGTGAACTTGCATTTAAATCCCACCAAGGCCGATGGTGAAATTGAAATTAAGACAAAAAGCTAGTCTAATGGTGATGAATTAACCATTGTCAATTGTCTTTAAAATCTATTTGGTTCATTAATTTTCATTAGTGCCATCCTTACCTGGTCTGGATTATATGTGACTTTAGATCCACTGTAATGCGGGTGGCTCTTAACTGCCCTCTGAAAAGGCCTGGCAGGCCTCTCAGTTTGAGAGCAGTTAGGGATGGACAATAAATGTTGGCCTTATCAGAATATGAGATACAGAGTCATGATACTGATGGTTCTCATATAGTTTTCAATTACAACAGCTTAATAACTTACGTGTTCAAGTGGACGAATTGAACCAATTGCCCTTCCTTCACTGAATTCATTCCAATCAGTAATTTCAGTGCATTCTAAGAGAAACTGTCTTCCTCTTAAGTTGGCATGGTCATAGGCTATCCATCTGACAATAAACAGACAACACATTATCAGGAATTGTAAACTGAGAGCTGAATCATTCATTTGCTTGATTTGTTTAATGGAAATACTGAATTCATTTCATGTTAGATGTTCCCTTGTATTATTGCCAATTCGTCAATGTGAATTTACTTCTCAAGAATGTTTGTCCCAAGGTGCACAGTAGAAGCATTTTAATTTGGCATTGATTTCAAATAAATATGCAATTGGAAGTTTATTCAGTTCACTTGTGATCATTCCAGATTAAATAGTGTTTTACTTACAATGAAATGGTTCAATTATTAGGTATTAGGAGTGAGGGTCGTGAGGTTACAAAAATATTTCAGTTAGCTCATTTGGCTGGCTGGCTGGTTTGCAATGAAGAGTGATACCAAAAGCATGAGTTCAATTCCTGTACCAGCTGAGGTTACCACAAACGTTCCTTCTTCTCAACCTTGCCCCTTGCCTGAGGTGGGTTATCCTCAGGTTAAATTCACCCCAGTTGACTGTTGCTAATAAGACTATGGTGACTTTATTACTCCTTTCATAAAATATTTCCCAGTTCTAATTTTAAATATACTACATGTATGAAACAGAATTTTGATAGAACAAATCTTTGTGAAACAGTTGTTTTTTGTAAATTCACAAAGTTACATGTTAGTTATGTAAGAAGGCAAGGAGCAAGGTGTGCCTTTCAGCTGTGATGAAGAGTCAACTAGACTCGAAACGTTAGCTTGCTTTCTCTCCATGGATGCTGTCTGACCCACTGTGATCTCCAGCATTTGTTGTTTTCTGTGCCTTTAAGTTGATTTGTTGCTTTACATGTATCTTATAACATTTTTCATCCTTTCATTGCCATTTTTCCTGTTTCGGTTGCTGGTTCTGAACAGAAAAACCATCAACTTTTGATACAAATGCTACTTTTAAAGTAAGAATTTAAATAGATACAGCAGAAAAGCAGGGGATGGGATTAATGTAAGTAGATCCATGTAAAAGAACTATTACCATAATGCGTATTGTTGAAAAAAGACACATGTTCTTGAAGCTTTTCGGCTTGCGTTCATCAAAACAATTCATGCAAATACCAATGTAAAGGGGGACAAATTTACACTTAAATTTATAATGAGAGGCGAGTGCTGATTGGTTGGCAAGTGGTTGGTTGAGCTGTTGCTATGGGGAACACACTAATTAACTGACAGGCCCTGTTTAAATTTTGAATCAGAAAAGTTGACTCTGATTGGTTGAGGTATTTTCTAAGAAATGAACCAGAGAAAGGCTGTCACCAACTTTGTTGAATTGAAAGAGGCACAGTGTGTGTAAATGTTCTTTCTTCCTGCAAAGAACATGACCCTGTGTGTTGCTTCCAGTACACGCCAACTATGCCAAACCATGAGTCTGGCTGACAGTCTTTAATTGGCAATCAGTGCAATTCTTCTCATACTCAGGATGAGTGTGACTCCAACCATTGTTGAGTTTTCCGTCCCGATTCCAATCTAAGCTGGAACTGAAAAGTCAAATACTGGGGGAGTATTGTACTTTTCGAGGCAATGGATGAGACATTATAACAAGATTCCAATCTGCTTCCTGAACAGTAGTTGAAAGATCTCAGGGCACTATTTGAATCACATATGGCAATGAAAGCTAAGAAATGACCAGTTAGTCTATTGACACTGTCCTGTACTGTGGTGATGTTACTATGCTACACCACGATCCACAGCTGCCCCTCATACTACAGCTATGCAATCTCCTGGAAGAGTGAAAGAATCTTGCACCAGTTCAAGAAAAACTTGGGAAATGTGTGTTCAATTGCCAAACAGAAAATGTTTATCACTTCATTGACTATTCTTTTGCTTCACTTCCTTCTTTTATTTTCATCATTGCATTTTACCGCTACAAAATTTGTTGCTTTTACTCTTTTAAAGGTTACCATTGATTAATTTCAGATCCATTTCTACCTATCATCATTGATCTTTATCAAGGATGACACTTTAATAATTCAACCCACTTGTTATGGTCTTAAAACTTTCTATTTGGCTGTCAGATCAGATAAGAGAGCTCAACTAAATGAATTGTTAATTTCATTAACAGCTGTCCAATTATACATGACTGAAACAGTAATAAACATGCTACAGATCGGTTTATACAGAAAAGTAGTTGTGAAAATGGCCATTTGCAATTTTGAGTTATAATTATAAGCAAAAAGAAAAAATTTTTTTCATTGTATAATTTTATCCACGTGTTACTTACAATCGATGTTCAAGAGGAAGATGTGTCTAAAGGAAATGTAGGACCCAGAATTGGCTTATTGTAATTTTGCCCTAAATCCAATTTTTATCCAGTCCAAGCACAGCTCTACTCTGGGGTCATGAGATCATTCATTTTATCCATATAAGCCTATTTTACATTAGCCTGGCTTAGTTTAGTTCAAGGATGCATATGAAAGTTGAAATTGCAGGAGCAAGAAATGGTAATTGGCTGTCAAGCCCACTTCATCCTGAGGCTGTACATATTCTTCTGAATACCTATTACCATCTCCTGTCTTCCTCTCTCTATTTTTTTAAGGATCATTGAATTCTCTTCTTTATTTCCCATAATAAAAAAAATCAGATAATGCTATGTTAGGCAGGGATGCTGCATTAATGGTACAGAGTTTCACTTGAGTTGAATGCTGCCTAAAGGAAACTGTATACCTAGTGAGCCAGCCTGTTCTTGGGATATGACCTTAATTAATTTATCCTGGTAGTTCTGAAACCTTCCACTTCACAGATATCATGGCAGCTTCTTTTAACTGTGTTAACTAACCCAGAATCAATTACATTCCCTGGGCTTCTTCAACCTAGTACAGAAATAAATATATTTTCTAAACAACAGAATATTAGAGATTCAGTGATTTACGCCTACTTACATTCCACTGTTCACCTTGACTGATTTTGGCATTTGGTAAAAACCTTTGTCCTTCCAGTAATTAATGCCTCCTGTAAGAATCAGCTCTTGACCTTCAAATGAATAAAGGCTAAATAAGCTGATGGAAGGCATAGAAAAATCCTAAAACAAGAAATAACAACAGGATCACATGACAAATTTTTAATGTAAGCATAGCTGATATCATTAAATAATAATACAGCTTCTCATAGTGACTGAAGTAGAGATGCAGCATTGAGAAAGGTGAGATGGTGGAAATCGTATCCTGCTTTTGCTTCCGATGCACCCTCTGCCCTCTCTCTCCTTCAAAACCCTCTCCATGTTTTCCCTCACCCTTTACTTACCTATAGGCCTGCAGTCCCTTGTTGTTTCTAGGCCTCTGGTGTGTCTACTGCTTGGAGCTGCCACTGCTCATGGTGGCACTTATAGTAAGGGAAACTCTGAAAGGTAGGTAACATTCTGAAGTAACATTGAATCCATTCAATGGATTCCCATTGCCAGGGTCTTACAGGGGAATAGACTTCAGTTCAAGGCTAATCAGGGATGGGCACCAAATGCTGGACTTGCCAATGATGCACTTATCCCATTAAAGAAAAAAATTAAAGTTTCATATAAGTATAAGTTGTTGACTTGCTGCTGCTTTCCTGCCAGAATTGCAGTTGAAGATTGGTGGAGATTTTAAGCAGTTTCATAGCCTATATTCCCGTATAGAGATGGTGCCCGTGCATCTACCATGCTACCTGATCAGCTTTTCCCATCCCATTGGTTTCACCTTCCACAGACTAAAAGGCAGGGTATTTTCAATGGAAAACCCAGCTAACTAAATATTTCCAGAGGAATTGCTGGTCATTTCAGATCAGACTACATTCATTCTTTAGTGCCTGCGAATGCCAGATGTTCATATTTTAAATATGACCATAGTTGTTAGTTAGTGTAAGAATGGTGATATTCATGGGAAAAGGGAATTGGTTATTTGGTCATGGGATGTGGATGCCTCTGGTAGGGGTGGCATTTAGTGTACATCCTTAATTGCCCTTGAACTATGTGGTTTTTGGGCCATTTCAGAGGGCATGTGAGAATTCACCACATTACTGTGGATCTGGAGTCACATGACCAGATAAGGATGACAGATTTTCTTCACAAAGAGATTAGTCTTTACAACAGCTAGCAATGGTTACATGGTCTTATTCAGCCACTTTTAGTTAAAATCCAGTTTCACCATCTACCATAGTGGGATTTGAACCTATATCCACAACGCATTAATCCAGGGTTAACTTATTAGTCCAATGACATTACTACACTACCAATATATCGTCATCATAATGCTAAGTGGAAAATCCAGGCTACTGATGATATTGGTCATAGCAGAGTTCTCAAGAATTTTGAGGTACTGAATTAAATGCAAACTTTATATTGCCACAGTTAATGTACTATTAAACAATCAGTCATCATGCTATCAGTTGGCCTGAGGATCAGTATTAGATAGGTTTTATTTTTGTCCCATTATGTCTTGACAGTGTTGTTGAATATATGTTGTTGCTTAGTTTGCCTGTTTTTTTCATTATATCTTTACTGCTAATATTAACTAATTCAATGGGCACTTGTACAAAATGTTGATAGAATTTATCAGATGAACAATATTCTACTCAGCCATAACCACTAAGTGAAACATCATGCTTGCTAGACCTCCATTCATCCCAGTCTACTCTGTTGCTGCTGCTCTCATTGGTTGTTTAAGGCTGAGGTACAAGTCCAAATGTTCACAGCACACTGATAAATATCTCACATACTGACTAATCAAAGGAAAATACCCTTTAAAATGGAAAAGTTCTATTGTCTTTCAGAATTGGCCAAAGACAATGTGGGGTAATTTAAATGTCATTTTGCACTTGCTACTGCAGAGGCTTGTAGAACTGATTTCAAGAGATAGTATGATAGGCAAAATAACCTCTGATTCATGCCACAAATCCACAGCACCAAGTTTGGCGTTTTGTGTATGCCACAAATTGATAATGTGTACGTTCTGCAACCCTGGAGACATGTGTACAAAAGCAAGTACATAGGTTTTACACTAAAAGCTTAGAAGAATGAGATACCTAATATCTTATGATACCTCTAAATTTATTTCTGGTAGTAAAACTATGAACAATTAATATTCTGAAAGTCTGAAAAGCCAGAAGTGCAGTGCATTTAATGGGAAAGGTTCTGTAGAGGAAGTCAGATGCATTTGATGCTCAGCTATAATTGTTAACCTTGAAAAGCAAAAAAAGGGGACAAATTACACTAAAAGGGAGAGTAATTGGCTAACCTCATGACACCAGTTTGCAAACACTAATCACCTGGAAGAGGAATTGTTGGCTACTGACAGAAAATAGCTCTAAGGGGAAAATGTCCTGTGCGTTATGCCTAAGCAGTTTGATGGAATGGAACCAAGGGAATTGTGCAGAGTGACACAACAGCCTGATGAGTTCACTTAACATGAAATAACAGAGAAAATACAGAAAGTTGCACATTAAGAAAATGAGACACAGGAGATGGTGAGTGTGAGAGTCATGACTTAAGCAAGCCGAAGCACTTTAGCAGAAGGCGCCCATCTTGGATTGAAAAATCCATGTGCCCCTACAGTGGTTTCAAAGCTAATGATAGAAGAAAAAGGGAAGTTGAAAGAAAGGGTTATGGTGTTGAGAGGGAGATTGAATTGCTTTCAAGAATGATTCAGAGGCAGTAGGTTGTTTTGGCTACTCAGAAAGAGATGTGATGTAATTTCAGGGATCCATAGCAGAATGATCAGTGGACAGTTAGGTTGATTGTAAGACAATTACACTGATGCAAATGTTGATTTGCACTCCAGAGATACCAAAAACTTACATTTCTGATGGGCTTCAGAGATTGAATTGGTTTGGCTGACAGATATCCCAAAGATTCAAGGTCTGGGTAGTGTCCTTCCTCCAACACGTATTGGTGGCCCCTGTACTCTTTTCCATCATACAAGACCCAGCTGGAAAGGCAAAAAAAAAGAAAAAGCATAAGTATATCACAAAATGCTTTCAGTTTATTTTGTTTTATATTGCAATACTAATAACAATTTTGGAGATGTTGCTAATACTACAAATTTATGTACAAAAAAATCTCCGGAAAACTGTTCTCTTATGTGTAGCAGAAACATAAACCTTTATAAACAAAATGTCCCCTTGATTCTCCATTAACAGGGCTTCAGAAAGCACTTTCACAAAACATGTATTAAGCATGAATTTTATCATCAAGTGGAAAATTACTTTATTTTAGAAAAGTAAAGTCAAAAATGGTTGATGCAGATTCCTAAAATTACACATTTGTATAGACAGGTAATAATAAAGAAAATATTTTAGTACTCCTACCATCCTCGAAGAACTTTAAATGAATTTAGTTGTAAATTTGGTAAACTGGGTATTTCAGTTACAAATTCAACACTTTCTCCCTGAAAGTCCACTCCATTGTATGCTTGGAGCTGTAAAATAAATGAATAAGAATAGTTTTGTAACATTCTGAAATCTTTTCGTAACAGACATAAGCTTATCCATACGTGGTATCACTTTTGCCATTCACCCAGCATGTTGGTACATAAGGATATTAGTCTGTGATACCAACACAACTATAGCAGAAATAGAAGCATAAGTAGAGTCACAACAAGCATTTCCACTAATTGGGTGTCAGACCAATTGTATTCTATCTATAGGACATCTAAGATGTCTGTGAATAGGACACGCAACAGTGAGGCTCTTCAAGTTAACTCACTAATTCACACAGATTGCAAACCAGGAAGAATAGGAAACATATATTTAAATAATGTGCATATGAGATTAAGGCAGATAGATAAGATACAAAACCAAACACACACACACACATACACATATTAATATATATGTATAAAATATATATGTGTATACATATATTTATATATATATAATATATTTTTTAAAATCTACGGCATTTATTTTCTTTTGGAGGAATAAGCACACTAAGCTCAAAGAATTTTCAGGCTCAGAGAGATTTTTCAACAGTAGTTTTGTAGTAATGTCATTGGATTAGTAATCCAGAAGCCCAGGCTAATAATCATTGATATATTTTCATGGCATCTGGTGGAATTTCAATTCAATAAATGCATTATGGAATACAAGTCTTGGAATGCAGTCTTGGTAATGATGGCAATGAATCTTTCACTGATTGTTGTAAAATCCATTTGGTTCACATGCTTTTAGGGACAAAATTCTGCTCTCCTTTCCTGGTCAGGTCACCATGTGACTCTAGAACTGTAGTAATGTGAATAACTCTGAAATGTCACTCAGTTCAAGGATAATTAGGGATGGGCAACAAATGCTGCCCTCGCTACCAAAACCCACTTGCTGTTAAGGACTAAGACTTTATTACTCAATAAACAATCAACTTATTCTTAAATGCAGCAACCCCAACCCGTTCATTTGGTAAATATGTTCATAGAATTTCAGTAAATTATATTTTATCAATGAAGATTGTAACAGCATACAGAGAAGCAACAGATCTCTGACAGCAACTTTTGGATTTCTTTGTTTATCAGTGCACGTGCAGATGTGTATCTGGGTCTGTGTGGAATGCTCCTTGAAGGGTGCAGACTTGATCGACCGAATGGCCTCTTTCTGCACTGTAGGGATTCTATGATTCTAAGATTTTATTACCCAGTGTTATTTGCCATTTTTCATTCACTATGGGACATTTTGCTATACCTTCTGTTTGTACTCACATATTCAACACCAGTTACTATTTTAACAAATTCATCCAATTGCCCATACCTGATGACTTTTTCTTTTTACATATGTTTATTGGAGGCTAGTAGCACTGGAACAGGTAGTGAATAGGGGCAGGATTGTTCATCTAAAACACACTTCAATGTGATGCTGCTGAAGAGCTATGGGGCATTTGTCTCCTTACCACCTTAAATGCCATTGGTGTTATCTCAGCTTGCTGAAGGTATTTCTTCAGTGGTCACTTCATGTATTGTGATAGTTTAAGATAAACAAACAGAGTACAGCAAACCACCAACAGTGGGCTGTATTGAAGGCTGTCACTAGACTTTTTCAAACTGTGGAATCATTGCTTTAGGAATTCAATGGCCTGCTCAGCAAGGACTGTGGGGTCCTGAGAGGATCATTAGACAACTGTGCAGCTTGTGTCACCAAACAGCTCATTCTCCACTAGTTTTAGTCAGCTCTGCTGGCTTTATCCAATTGCGGTATTCGATCATTGACTTTTGGATCGTGCCCAGGATGTGCAAAATGCCTGTTTTATTTAAATTGCCTCCTCTGGACTGACTCTTCTGAACTGTCAGCAGCGCCAGATTTTCTTTTCACTGATATTTTCCAATTTCTGCTTCACCACCATTACAGTGACGTAGTGGAATTGTTGACAGTCTGATCCGCTAAATATAATCCTCTTTCATGCTATAATTAACAGGCATTCATGTATGATTCATACAGTTCTTTTCAGAAACTTAAATAATACTGAATCAGGTTGAAAAGAAATCCCAAATCACTGTTAAATGTGTAATTAGAGGTTTGTAATCTGTAAATTGATTATGCTTTCTTATTCCTCAAACTAGGTGTTTGATTCATGATTTAGCCTTTTTATTTAATCCTTGGCCACATCAGATCCCTTTGAAAGCCAAATATCTCATTTAAAAGAATTCAGCATAGATTATGTATAATTTTGCTGGAAATGCAATTTTGAAGATTTAAGATCAATGAAGGCACAGAAGCATAAAAGGAAGTGACAATAGAACACCACCGTTCCTCTCAAACATGACACATATCAAGCTGTGGACCTAAATGGATCACCTCTTCCCTTTGGGATCTAAAGAAACACATCAGATGCTGGCTCAGAAAGCACAGAATAGCAAATAGCAGCAAAAAGTCAAGATGATGTGTGCAGCCCTGTGATGAAGATCATAAGGCTCTGTGACAGTTATTGCAATGAGAAGCTATTTTAATATAAGACTGTTATATTATTAGTGATTCATTCTGGGACCAATGTCCAGAGGAATAGCATGCAAAATTAACACCAACAGTAATTTGTAGGTTTAAAAAATACAGTGGTAGATCAAGTAACAACTTCAAATAAGAATCAAGCAGTAAGTATATAATTTGTAAACATTGTTTTATCACAATGAATATAATTTATCATAACAGCATTTTCAATTCTGACTGGTGGGGCATATTCTCTTATTCTAAATAATATATTTACCTTAAGCCTTTGTGCATACATAGAAAAAGTCCAAATGTGCCAAATGTCAAAAATAAATTGTTAAAGCTTTAATTCTTTTTGGGGTGACCAGACTGTTTCAGAAAATAAATCCCACACAATGTAATTATGTATAATAGGCTTTCAACACTGCATCCTATAAAGTAATACAAGAATACCAGAGCAACATTTGCTCTTTGTTTTTGTAGGATCCCAAGAATCCTGTTTTTGCTAAATTGGCATTCACCAGAAAATGTACAAACATTAATAAAAATCAATAACTGGGAATCTTCCAGTCAATACCATTGAGTTATGCTGTTGTGTTGCACGGTCAGTCTACCACAATAACTGTGGTGAAGAAGAAATTGGTAAATATCAGCTGTAAGAAGCTTGACCCTACAGAGAGTCCAGAATAAGGATGCAAACAGGCCATTCAAATAAAACAGGTGTCCATAAAGGAACACAGTGATAAACATAGTAAGTGCTGTGCACAATCTCTTGATGACTTTACCAATAACAAATCATATGCACCAAAAGAAATGCCGCAATTGATTTAGACATGCCTTAACAGGCTGATACCATCTAACACATCACTGATGAAGACAGTGAATAGAACAAATGACTAAGGACGAATTTGTTTCAATCCTCTTTTAACAAAATTATTGTCAGTAACGATAATACAAATTATTGGGTAATATACTTTTATTAAGCAAAACATTTTATTTAAATTTAATTAATTTATTGCAGTTAATGTTTATTATACCTGAAACTGCACTTCCTTCCCTCCAACAGGTTCCTGTAATGCAATTCAAAGCATATTTCATTAATCAGAATATACTTTATTATTTTAATACTCTAGATAGTAAATTGCTAATACAACATTCACAGAATTTTAACAAAGAAGAGAATGTTTTTAATTGTAGAATAAATATCAGGCATTTCATTTCATGTTGAGAAATATGTGTTTGCTCAGTAAGAATGGTTGGGTGTGAATGGAACATTTCAATTCTCACGAGTTGATCACTGACTCAAGTTAAATTGTAGCTTTCAGTTGAATTAAGGTTCGAAGGTGGGAAATAAGTCGACCAAAACACATGAACATAATTTAATCCCCATTTTAAAGAGAGAAATTGTTCCCTCATTTTAAAATATTTTCA